TTGCTATGCTACAAGTACACACGCAACAGAATCAACGGCATTCAATCACATCAATGCACCAGAACCACGCACAATGCACCGACGCACGCCACGCGACACACACACACAACACAACTACAGAGAGACGCAGACAGAGAGACCAGAAGAGACAGAAGAGACAGCATGAGACAAGAGAGACAGAAGAGACAGAGAGAGAGAGAGAGACAGAGAGACAGAGACACGGCGCGACAGCAGAGACACGACCAGAGAGAGAGAGCAGAGAGGAAGAGAGAGAGAGAGAGAGACAGAGAGACAGAGAGACACGAGAGAGAGCAGAGAGTGAGCGCAGAGAGAGAGGAGAGAGAGAGAAGAGAGAGAGAGAGAGAGAGAGAGAGAGAGAGAGAGAGAAGAGAGAGAGAAGAGAGAGAGGAGAGAGTAGGAGCAGAGGAGGAAGGGAGCAAGTCCAGGAGGAGAGAGGAAGGGATAATCGAAAGAGCGGAGAGCGGAGCCGAGAGAGGGAGAGAGAGAGAAAAAGAGAAGTGTGGAGAAAACACGGCCCACCTACCGTGGCGATTGTGGACGGACAATGGACTGTACCCAACCATGAGCCGACAGTTCCACTTACCTTTGTGCCTCTCGTCGGTGACTCGCTCCGTCACAACTTGGAGACGGCAAACTTCATCGGCGTCGAGGCGACGAAACTTCCTGCCTAAGGATTGTCAGACACCTTGAACTTCTTCAGCAAGGCTTCGATAACCTCCTCAGACGTGGTATCACTGCAGCGAGAAATGCTCGTACACGCTACCACATCCCGGCCCAAACCGGATCAAACAGGCGACGTAACTTGGCTACTACACGATTTTAACCGTGCTTTCCCGGTCTCGCCGTAGAAATTTGCACAATTCGAGTATATATATGCTTGTAAATTGTGGAAAAAAGTGCAGAAGCTCGCACTATTTTGTGGCAAGACTGAGTGAGAGACGAGGGTTTCATAGATGTCTACACGATGATTTACATTTATTTGATTTCGGAGTTATTTATATTTATTATGCTTTTAGTCTATTATTGCTTGTGTAATTTGGTTCTTGCGTATATATATTATATATATAATAGAGAGATGAAGAGGAGAGAAGAGAGACAGAAGAGCGAGAGAGAGAGAAGACGAGAGAGAGAGAGAGAGAGAGAGCGAAAGCGCGAAAGAGAGTAGAGAGAGAGGAGAGAAGAGGAGAGGCAAGAGATGAGAAGAAGAAGAGCCGACGAGAGACGAGAGAGAGAGAGAGAGAGAGAGCAGAGAGAAAAGAGAGAGAGAGAGAGAGAGAGAGAGAGAGAGAGAGAAAGACAGAGACAGAGAGATAAGAGAGAGAAGAGAGAGAAAGAGAGAGAAGAGAGACAGGAGAGAAGAGAGAGAGAGACGAGAGAGAAAGAGAGAGAGAGAACTACCTTATATATGAATCTAACTTCTAAGGTATATACGATGACTCTAAAAAGCTAAAACTTCTTCTTACAGATTGTCCTTGAAAAATAATTGAAAAAATAATTTACTTTTGTGGGAACCATACAGCAAGACACGACCACTTATGTTCAGCGATATGAATACATTATCGATCCTTCCTGTTCCTACATTTTGCCTATGTTTCAGGTCACCTCACAACGCAGTCATCACTCTCATTCATCCCAGAAGTCCCAGAAGGGGTCATCCCAGGGCAGGACTGGCAGTCAGGGTGCAGTGAAGGCTTCGCAGTAACCGAACGTCGGCGATAGACAACCAAGATTGCAAGCAGTAACGACGGAGCTATTTGTACTTTGCGTATAACAGTCACAAGACGTTAGTTTATAGTTGTGAGAGAATGAAATGGTGTTTGTTTCACGACTCGCGATATGCGGTAGTTAAGTGCGTTTCATTGGGGGACGATGCTCCTTTTGCGGTCGACAATGTAATAAATTTTTTAATACTAATTTCTCCCAGAAATTTGCTAGCACTGGGCAAGATGAAGTGTGGTGTGTAGGTATCTCTTACAATCCGTTTGACTGACAACAGCTAACGTCTGCAGAAAGAATGCTACATCTAAACAGTCACAATGTAAAGATATGATGCAAGAAAATTCCATAGTTACTTCCAGTTGAATGGTGGCAGAAATATTTGCTTTAAAACGCGTGTTCATGCACACACATTGATACTATTCTGTATTTAACGTGCATGTTAATGTTTACTGTTTTGATAGGTTGCATTTTATACATAAAAACGTGAAAAACCCACAACCGCGTGTTCACGTTATTCAATGCGTTTGTCGACATGTAAACGCTTTCGAAAACCAAAACAGACAAGTTACGTAATATATTTGCAAGATTCCATCTTTAATTCAACAGCTTTACATATTACAATTTGCTTTACATGTACAAATAATTTTTTTACAGGGATAGGTATATTTACTCGTAAACGAGTCCGGCATTGTCTCGCGCGCTCGCAGCGACTCGTTCATTCTATTGCACGCGTTACTCGTATATTTTATATCCAGTGCTGACGAAATACTGAAAAATCATCTCAGTGTCAGCCAATTATAAATGCTGATGGGAAACTCGTACGCGACGTCAATCCAACGGGCAGTTCTCGAAAAATAATAAAACTAATGAAAACTAAAGGTGCCCTTTCACGCGTACCTGCTTATCACGCCCGTGAAACACGAAGCACTCGCGAATTATCCCGGCGACGTGCAGTACGATCCCAAGGGATTATCCGCCGTGAGAAACACCTCGATTTACAACACTAGGGTTTCCATAATAATGTACAATATTTACAGGCAATCGCTGCCAATTGACCCCAGTGTCTCGCTGCTAGTTTACAGCGCCCCCTATACTCCTCTGATATCCTTCACCATAGTCATCTTAATTAGCGAAGATGGCTGTTGTCCGATCTTTAATGTTTATTCTAATGTTTCTAGCAACTGCGAACATGTGAGCATAGACTGAAGCCTATAGATGTATGCAGATAGGCATGTAGCTTATTAGAATAGTATCGGAAATTTTAAAGAGATGTCCGACACTACGTACTGATAGGCGAGATACAAGATACAATATGTCGTGACTTTACCGAACCATTCATCACAAATACGTAATTTTGTGAGCAAATCAGTGGTACTAGCGACACCCTTGATCACCCTTGAACACCTTGGTACCTGCGACAACCTTGACCACCTTTGAACACCTTGGTACCTGCGACAACCTTGAACACCT